ATAAGGTCCCCCGGGACCCTTCTCTTCTCCAGGCTGAACAGCCCCAACTCTCTCAGCCTGTCCTCATAGAAGAGGTGCTCCAGCCCTCGCATCATGCTTGTGACCCTCCTCTGGACTCACTCAAGTAGGTTCATGTCCTTCTTATGTTGGGGGCTCCAGAACTGGACACAGTACTCCAGGTGGGGCCTTACAAGAGCGGAGTAGAGGGGCAGAATCACCTCCCTTGACCTGCTGGCCACGCTTCTCTTGATGCAGCCTAGGATACAGTTGGCCTTCTGGGCTGGAAGTGCACGTTGCCAGCTCATGTTGAGCTTCTCATTCTAACAGCACCCCCAAGTCCTTCTCCTTAGGGCTGCTCTCGATCCGTTCTCTGCCCAGCCTGTATTTGTGCTTAGCATTGCACCAGCCCAGGTGCAGGACCTTGCACTTGGCCTTGTTGAACTTCATGAGGTTAGCACAGGCTCACCTCTCCAGCCTGTCAGGGTCCCTCTGGATGGCATCCCGTCCCTTCAGTGTGTCAACTGAACCGTACAGCTTGGTGTTGTCAGCAGACTTGCTGTGGGTGCACTGAATCCCACTATGTTGCTGACAAAGATGTTAAACAGCACCAGTCTATGTGAGAGAGAACTTGGTTTTACTGTTTTACTGTTTAATCTTCCTCTATTCCATCTGTTTCTCCCTTCAAAATATTTGAAAACATAGAAAACTTCTGCTGTAGCTTCATTTTTCACGGTCCTGATTTAGAAACATTGAAATCCTCAATTGGAAAAAAAAAAAAAAAGTATTTGTGCTTATACTTGTAAGCCATTGCTGAGCTTGTAGTTATTTCTGAGGCATCGAATACATATGATCTTAAGTATTGTAGCTGTAACTTAATCGAACAGTCTAGGTAATCTTCAAGCTATTTTGACTTATTCATCTGTTAATGTATCTTCAAAGGTGAGCTTAAACCCTTCTTCCTTAAAAAAGTGATGGGACTTTGTCACAGTTTGGCTCATCCAAAGTTGTTCTTTACTGCATGTTCATCCTCTTTAGTCTTCTCTCCTTAGGCTGTCTGTCAAAAAGAAAACAAAACCAAAAAACCACTGGAACCCATTTTGTTGAGTGTGATACCAAAGAATTGTCTCTCCCTCCAAATCCTTCTTGCAATTTTTAAACAGCACATCTCTGAGGTCATGCCAGTGTTCATTGCATAGGACATTCATCTGTTGCAAAGTCCCTTGGTCTGATTTTGGATAGGACAATTTCTGATCAATCCGATGGTTTTCTCTACAAGCATCTACTGAACATTTGCAGATATGCTCTCATTACACGTTGTTGTAGGGGTATAAGTGGAAGAATATTTGCAGGGACATGCCGGACTTGTTTGGTTATTTTCCAGGTGTGTCAGTTTTAAGAACTGTATCACCCTTCCCTACAGTCATTGTTACGTTTCTTTCTGTCAGACAATCCAGAAAGTATATCTTACTCCCTCTTGCCCATCAGCAAATATCCTTTATATTATTACACGGGGTAAGAACTGTATTTGTTTCAGTTCCAAGTGTGGAGATCTGGTATTATGGATACCTTTGAGAGAAAATATTTTTCCTGCCTGTGTCCTATGAAGATGCTCATAATTACAGATTGCAAATCAGCAGCTTTTCAATGACACAATGACCCTGTAAGACATTATGTGTCTGTTACTCAAAGATAAGTAATTTTATCGTTCGCTTAAAAATGAACTGTTGAATAGAAACTAGGAAGACGCTATATTCCTATTAGAACCCAAATTTTAGGCACTGAGTGAGAGGACTGTTTTCAGATATGTCTGTAGATGGTCTGCTATTGTGTATTTATTTACAGGAAAAGAGTAGTGTGTAATTCCCTCTTAGCAATTAAAAGTGAAATGGGTGCTTGAATTCGACTTATATAGTGAATGGTTCTCAGTGAAAATTAGCATTTTAAAATTAAGTCTCACTTGACTCTATTTTTATTAATTCTTTTACTCCAGGAATCATCCCTTCGTATTTTCTTCTTTCACTTATTTTTCTAGGTTTATGGGTGTTTTATTTTTTCTTTTTTTATGTGGCCTCTAACAGTTTCTCAATCTTTTACTTTTACCCCTTACCATCCATGCCCTGCTTCTAGAGATTCCAGGGCCTTGTGGTTTTCTGATACCAGGTAAGGTTATAAGTAGATCTGGAATGGGTGATCTGATTAAGAACGGACCTTCTGACCTTCCTTTTGTGTACCTCAAGCAGACTTCTTCCCTAAGACACGCATGTTTACTGTTTGTTTTCCCCTTTGATGAATTTACAGCTGGCTCTTCTTGATATATCTTTTAACATATCGTATGAACAGTTGGGTTATTTTAAAAGCCTGGATTTGAGGTCTGAAAATTATCTAACTGAAATGATAGTTTCCACTGCATTGTACTAAAATCATTGATTTAATTAGCAGCTTTAGTGTAAGTGACTCAGTGTATAGATGCTGATTTTGACGCCATATGTACAAGAGAATTGGAGTTCCTGAATCATAACAAGTCAGAGCTTAATTTTTTTAATGCAACAGGTTTCTCTAAAAGCTGGTTTGTGTCGTGTTTTTCTTCGAAAATATTGGATAGCTACATGTGTGCGTGTATGTTTGTCAATAAAATATGCTTTAGTTTTTCACTGTTTACAGAAGAACACTTCTTATTTTTTCTTTTATTTTAAGGATTTTTTCCATTTAGGGCTTATCCAATTATATATATGTCTGCAATGTGAAAAACTAAACAGTAGCTTATGAACTCAATTATTTTTCATATACAAGTCTTTTAACACTTGCAAGCAAAAAGTGGAAAGCAACAGTATAGTGCAAATGAAAGTAGGTTTCAGAACTACCTTTACATTAGACTTCAATAAAAATATCTGAAACATTTCCATTTTTTTATTTTACAACTGAAGAATGATAAATCAAAACGTTATTTTTTTTATTGGATACTACATATATAATAATATTTTGAAATAAACACAGCACAAAAATCAGATACAGTATTGTTTACTGTCTTGTTGAAACTTAGATTCCCATTTTCTGGCGCTGTTTTGGAAGTGAAATTTAGGTTGTTAATCCGTTTAGGAAAATAACCTTAGTTACTGAATGGTTTTTTTAAATTCATGCCAAATAATTAGCATTTTATTGCATAAGAAGTAGAAAAGAGGATATGATGTTCAGAATAAACATTTGAGGCAAGTACGTATAGACTTCCAGGCTACAGCACAATGTTAGAAATTTTTTTTAATTTTTTTTTTTTTTTTTTTACTAATTTTAATATGACCTTATTTTTTTCACAGAACCTCTTAATGTACTCTAGCAATAATCAGCAATAGTCTCAAGTACACAGGCAGGACTTTCTAGATGTTAATTCTGTGGTCTTTGTTTCAATTCTTCTATGTCTGCTATTTGCTGGTCTAACAGAAACTTTAATCAGGTGTAGATTTCTCTTTCAAAATAAGGTAAAGAAGTCAGGAATAGTCAATGATCCACATATATTGTGGCTTTGGCAATAAGCATCTTGTCACAGATTACTGTGTTCGTCTCTGGATTTGCTTGCAAGCTGTGACACAGAAGGATACCAGCAACTGCAGATTTAAAAAAAAATAAAAATAAAAAAAAGTCAGCCTGTTTAACACCCCCTACTGAATCCTTATAGTCACGTGGCCTCCTTCCCTGCCAGCTCCTTTACAACGACTTATCTCAGATTAATTTTGCAAAGAAAATAAGTAAAGAAAATTAAGAAATCTAAGTTTAAAAAAATCCAAAACACCCACATCCCATATCTTGGTAGAAGTGCTCTGTCAGCTTGGAAAATTTTGTAGTCTGGCTGATTTTAAGTAAAATCTGTTATGAAGCAGTCAGGCAGTTCCACCAGTAGGTCTCAGGAGTTTGGGTTTTGTTTCTATTTAGAAGAAATCACTGTTTATTGCTTAAAATGTACAAAACATCTGTGGATATCTAAAGGTTTTTTTCATAGGTTAAATCTGAATTCAAGCTGGAGTAATGTTATCAAGCAATAGAGCTGGAGATAATAGAGAATGTATGTTCATTCTCTTAATAGGCGTTTGGCCTATTGTTTTCTCTTACAGTAATAAATCTTTTGTCTATCACAAAGTGTATGAAAATTAATAATTATTTATATGCATGTGATTTCTAATTTTTAACAAATAACCAGTGATTTATTTGGCTGTTTTAAAATTGTAAAACAACAGAAAAATAAATAAATATCTTCAAAATATTTCTATAATAGAGGTAAGATTTATGTAGGCCAAAGCTCTAAGTCTGGCTTCTGAAACTTACGATTTTGTCAATATTAATTGCTGAATTCTGTCTTTATAATCATTAATATAAGAAACTAGACTGCAAGCATGGATTGCAGCCCTCATTTGCACATACATTCATGGTACAGTTTGCATTATTTGTGGGATCACCTAATGCTGTAATCCACAGACCTATGTGTGATTTCATAAGGGAGCAAGGTACAGTATAGAGCTATTCGTGGTGAGCTAGCTTGGGCAATGCAGTTCACATTGCAGTTCACAAGTGTTCAACCAATTTACAGGTCATTTTACCAGATCATATTGCTATCTTTGTGATCCTGCAGATAAAAAGTAAATTAAACAAAAAATACTTTAATAGTGTTCTCTGTAACACCATCAAGGACAGGATTGCAAACTATGATAGTCCTTTTTCTCACAGGCAGTTTTTGCCCACTAAGGAGGCAAAAGCTGAAATTGTATTCTTCATTTTTTTTTTTTACTACAAAGGAAAGGTAATTATCATGGATCAGAACTGTACAGATTTCAGAGAATGGGGATATAGAAATCACTTTGGGGTTATGTTCTTTTTTTTAAAAAAAAGTGATAATTAAACCAAAAATCTGACCCCAAATTTATTTGATCATATCAAAATAATTAAGGACAGTCAAGCATGCCATTCATATGGAAATACCACAGAGTCTAAAATATAAATTTCATTCTAAAATTTAAAGCAACATGGCAGATATAGACTGTCAAATATAAATTAATAGTTGTTTGTTTCTGACTATTGAATTTGTATTTTTAAGGGCCCATGGATGTTAATATTCTTGCTAAGTGTAACCCCTGTTTATCAAATCCATGTAAAAATGATGGAACCTGCAACAATGATCCAGTAGACTTCTATAGATGTACTTGCCCGTATGGTTTCAAGGTAGGTACTGAATGAAGAGAAAAAAGCTTATTGCAATCTAAGCTTCTTAACATCTTTAAGTTTCATTTGACTCCCTTCCACTAGTGTCTATGTTTTCTTCTTAAATTGTAATTGTTGTTCCCTGCATAGGGTCAAGACTGTGATATTCCCATTCATGCTTGCATTAGTAACCCGTGCCACCATGGCGGAACTTGCCATTTGAAAGAAGGAGAAAAAGATGGTTTCTGGTAGGTTGTTTTTAATTGTAATAACAGGATGGAAAACTAGTGAATTTTATATGCTGAAATAATTTTGGTGTTAATCTTTGGGTTCTCTGTGTTTGCTGGTATACCACAAAGGCAGATTTTAAGTGCTTCTGAAGTTTTCAGAACATGTTGTTGTCCTTGGAAAGATTCTAAAGCTTTGAAACTGTTAAAACCAGTAACAAATGATTGTGATTAGCTGAGGCATATCAGGTCAAGACAACATAGTATTCACTCCATTATGCTAATTAATAGCTAGCTAGATCCCTGCTGAAGAAATCTCACAATTCAGCTGTTGTGTGTATTACTTCAACAGACAGCATGTAAATGATAAAATGTAAATCCCAGTGAAACAGAAAATTAATGATTCATTTGAAACTCACTATGCCAGCAGATAAACATGCTGTGAGCATTTTTAATTTTGAGTTATTTAATCATACAGTACAATTACTCCAGATGTACTTCATGAATTATGAAATAAAGTTCTTTAGCATTCTTATGTGATATTATTAGGCATTTAATAATCTACACCTCAAGCTTGTTAGAAATGACACTTCAAAAAGATACAATTCATTATCCTGCAATTCATTATGACATTATTCTTATTTTTTAATCCAAATTTCTCCCAAAGATTAAATAGTTTTCTATTAAAAATTAGGAGTTTACATCTTAATACTGTGCCTCTAGAATTTAAAGTGACATAGTCATGTCTCAGAATTTGACCTTTTTCATTTATTTGTTTAAACACCATATATTTTGAAAATCAAAGCAATCTGATAATCAAAGCCACAGAAATTACATAGTGCATATTACCTGAAAATGTATGTGTAGTCATGTTTGAGTGATCTTTTATATTTGCTATCTGTTTTAAAAGCAAAAAAAAAATATTTTTTTGAACAGTTTATACAAGCTTTGTTTTTATATATGCATGTGTTGTGCATGGAATGTTAAACAGAGCTTTATATTGGGGCATTTAACTAAATGATAGTGGAATTCTACTGTTACCTACTAATCCCTGATGCTACAGCCTTTTCCCTGTGTCCATAAGAAATATAATTTAATCTTATAATATAAAGAATATAAAGGTAGAATGCTTTTCAAAATGAATGTTCAGTGATTTAATTTAAGTAGCTCCTTAAACTAAACATTAAGGCACAAGTTTAGAAGCCTTTTTTCTGTAATTTAAAATATGAAAAATAAACATTTATTATATGGTGTTTTACATTATATCAACCACGTTCCTTTATGAGATAGTGAATTATTGCATCTATTAATTACCGAACTTCTTGTCTGATCTCCCCAGATAAAATGTCCGTGTGGTTAGTTTTGTGTTGTGTATTACAGGTGCACTTGTGCAGATGGATTTGAAGGTGAAAACTGTGAAGTAAATGTTGATGACTGTGAAGACAATGACTGTGAGAATAATTCTACTTGTGTGGATGGAATTAATAACTATACTTGCCTTTGTCCACCTGAATATACAGGTAGGAGTATAAGAGAAAGTACAAGTAATTCAAGAATTCCTAGCAGAACAGTAATACTTCTTAGTTTGTAGGTGAATTAGTGGTTATTGTACAATTGACTTAAAGCCAGGTTTCCCTCCATATTCCTCTCCTGTATGGTTTGTAGTCAAAAGTAGACTTAATGCTCATTCATACATTGCTTAGTCAGTTTTAAAAATACAGTATTTTTATATTAAAAGATCATTCAAAATGTGTCCTCCCTAGTGTTTACCTAACCCAGACACCCTAATGAAGAATCCCTGTAGCTGTAGAAATCTGAAAAATATTATTCTTTTACCCTATATACCTCATGTTACTAACAGGGCAGAAAAGGATCTGTCTGTACCAGTAGGGAGCTCAGTTTGGCACCCCTGGAAATTAACATTTCTGTAAGAAACAATAATGCAGAATGCGATACTTTCTCTTCTCTGTTCTAGGAAAAAAAAAAAAAATAGGGAGTGTCCAATTATTTGTTTCTGTCAGTTGACAGGCAGGCCAAAGCATTCCCCTCTGAGACAGAGTGTCTCTTGCTTGCTGTCATCCTCTCTGTGAGAATGAAGGATAGTTAGAACAGCAACACTGAAGAACAAGTAGGACCTATGGTTTACATTGATCTGTTTTATAGTTTTTCTAACTATACAGATCTATTTTCTGTCAGCTAGTTGACCACTTAGGAGAACATAGAGCTTAAATGTAAAATCCACCATAACTTGGGAGTTAACTCTACTCAGTCATCCTGTTGCCTCTGTCCAATGAGTTTTTCACTATCTTCAGGGAGCACAAAATTTGAGATCTGGAAAACTTGGGAGAAGAGGTGAACTCCTGAATTAATTTATTTTATTGAAAACATAGCTAACTCCTTTTTCATCCAGAGTATTTCCATCATTAGTTCTATAACCTATTGGATTGCTTTAATTTTTCAGGTTATTTAAATTTTAAGTCAGTATTTAAACCTCAGAAACCCACAGTGAGTGGAGATAATAGAACACAAGTATAAGAAATACAACTTCATAATCTAATATATGTATTCATCCAGTACTTATGCTCGGTAAATATTTGGTAGAAATTTCCTCACATAGCATAAGCTACAATACCTATAGCAATACAGGTTAAAAGTATAAGTAGCCAGAATAAGGTATTTAATAATAAGTGGATGGTCTGCATCTGGAAGAACAGACATAATAATCCTTCTACCTAGACAAAATAGTGTTTTGCCAAGTACTAATACCTTAATACCTAAGAGCAATTGACAATTCAAGCCTTAGAAACAAATAATAGATAACAGCATCAATAAGTAGAGACAGGTGTTTGCTATTTCTTCTATATTTCAGCATTATGTGAGTCAAGCTTCAGCTCCCCTGGGATCAATTGCTATCTCTTTTAAAAATATGATCAGATAGTTTGATCTTTCAGCTGTTTAGGCTGAAAGAAAGCAAACCAAAGTCACATCAACCCAGTATTCCTGTTCAGTGGCTTCATGCTAAGAGGTTTTATATATCTATAAGAGAATAGACAACTCATTTGCACATGCATTCCTCCTCTGCAGCTTTGCAGGTGTTTTTACCTGTGTCATATATTTTTTCATTTGCAGCATTGCTCTAGATGCATTTAAGTGCCCAAGTCAATAGCTTGCTGTATTCAGAATATGCCATGGGAAGAACTGTTTTGTATTAAATATACATGGAGTGGGTATAAAGGCTTGTTTATATGTGCTAGCCTAAAACTTTGATTAAGTGTGCTTGTTGTATTTCTATAGTACTGTAATTGAAATCTACATTTTACATTTACAATTGAAACAGCAATTTTAGCATTTCTCTATACATATATCTAGTTAGAGTAAAAAGGAGAGCATAAATATTGGTAACATTTTTTATGTTTTTATTTCAGTTGTGCTTCTTCAGTCAAAATACAATTTAATTTGATTCATAACTGTGCATAATTCTGAAAGGAAAATACTATGACTTTAGATAGCAAGTGTTTTTGTTTGCTAATTGTAATTCTTTCAGAAAAAGAGATTTGCTTTTACAGATACGAAGCCTACTCATACTTGATACTGAAGTCAGTAGGTCCTGTGAGTAGGTGAGAATCTTCTCACCAGCTCTAAAGTAAATCAAAACAGTCTACTTGTAATCAGTACATTTAGCTGATCTGTTTTTTTAAAATATGTTGAGAATCTACACTATCCCATCAGATTTTTTTCAACCTAGCCAAAAACAGACACGTGTTTTTTTAAATATAGAACATCAGAGCCTCAACTCGTTTTATAGATAAGTTGGGCAAGAACTGTAGCAAAAGTTCAGGTTTTTCATTCCACAAGATACAGTACAGAATTCTACAATATACTATCTATCTTGTGTCTGCAGATAGGACACAATGTGTGAGATCCCAAGTAATTTTTGAGATTAATTTTAAATAGAAAATATAAAACATGATCTTCACATCCATCATCCTTGATCTTGCATAGTAATTAAATAACCTTCAGTGTTAAGAATTAGACTGACAGTAGTCTGGACACATCAGGATCTAGAAATGGGTAGTGTTCAGAATATAAAGCAATCTTACCATTGCCTCAAGTGTGTATGAGGTACCTATAAAATTATTTATAGGACTTTTTTTTTCCTGTCCTATAGCCTGATTTGAATGAGAAGTAACAGAATCCCTGTCCAGTATGGATATAGTGATTTTCATGAGGAACTTTGTAAACATTTGGATTTTGGTATCTCTTCTAACAGGTTAAAATCAGATATGCATATTGCTAATATATTTTTTTTGTGAAAGATATTTTTCACTAAATGAATTCATGTACTAGTTGGGCAAATGTAGGCTAATCATCAGAAAAACAGGCTATGTATTCAATAGGTGAAAAAGAGTTTTAAATTCAAAGATACTTTCCTCTAGCTCAGAAAGTCCCTGAGCTGTAATATACCAGAAAAATAGCACCATAGGCTTGTCCTGTTCTCTTTTAATTCTGTTGGCAATACTTTGAATAGTTTATTTTCAAGATGTCACAGCATATATGTACTGAATGTGGAAGCATACCAGCCCAGAATATTTTTCTTCATGAATAGTTATCTGCAAATATGCTTACATTTCAGTAGTACAGTATAAGGAAGAAGTAATCTGAAACCTGCTGGTATGAAATGTAAATCATTCTTCTTTAAAGTTTTATTTTCATGTGGAGAGCTTCTTAGAATCTCAAATTAACTCTGAAAATACATACAAAAACTGTGAAAAATGTTTTAAAGAATGTTGCAGTGCAAAACCAAACAGTCACTTTTTGACTTTTCTAACAGTCCTTGAAAATTAACACTTTTGAATACACAGTGTTGATTTAAAAACAATTTTAAAAGCTTATTATTTTGTTGCTTAAGAATCAGGAATTTGTTTTTATCTGTCTCAGTTGAGTTTTACAATTACCTCCACAGTTAAAGGTGGAAAGACAACTAATGGTATTTGCACTATACTATGAGCTTTCTTAAGATCACAGACTGTGACTCTGAAACAACAGTAAGCAAATGGAATCAACAGGCACTGAGTGTCTGATGGAACCTTGAGAAATAAAACATTTAAAATACCTCATACGTCCTGCACTCTTTAACCTCACTATTCTCATAACATTATCATCTCCTTTATTTTAACCAAGTCTAGTAAACTTCCGGTCATTTTATGTACATTCTGTAGATTACAGATGATCATTTCTCTTCCTCATTATCATCAGTCATTAGATCACAGATCTAATTGCTCCAGAAGTAAAACCTTTCTTATGCCACCAGTGGCATGTACTTCTTACCTTTTCTGTTTGTTTTGCTCTGCTGTAGGTGAAACTCTGAAGCTTGCTTCATTTTGCTATATCAACCTCTCTGCTGCTATAGTTGTGCATTAGCTTAATGTGCTATGCTGTTGTATTACAATGTAAAAGTCTCTTGTCTCTTCTGTCTTTGTCACTCCAAGCTGCTAATCTGAATGAAGTGGAAAAAGGTCAGTTGTCTTTTAAGCCTATTTTCACTTACTTTGGTTTCTCACTTTCCTTTCCTTAAAGGTGCATGGATTTCAGTTCTTACAAATGATCAATTAAATTGTATATAGATATAATTTAGAAAGCTCACTGCAAATCCTCAAATTACGCACTTGGCTCTTGCTGTGAATAGATGTCAGAAGAATGTCACTGAGGATGCAGATCGCTGTGCAGGAGTACTTTAATACTACTTTTATTGTCTTTTTTTCAGATGTATTAAAAATTTGTGCAGACACTGACAGAACTAACAAAAAAGTTTACATGGTGATCTTCTGAAATCTTTATTCTCATCACTTTAAAGAAGTACCTTGGTTCAGTTCAAATGTATTCTCTGTTTTATATCATGGTTTTGCTTTAATTTCTTTGTTAGATTATGGTACTAGAAAATATGCTGAAGTATAAAGTGGCAGTTATTGTGCTCATCATTTCTGTGGCCTTTTTTTGCTGTAAATATCTGTACAATCTGAAATGACCGTATTAAGCTGAGGCTATGGTACAAGAAAAGTAATAGTGGAGGGATTTATGACACTAACTTCGGGCATTCTTGATTTTTTTTTTTTTAAGTTTCTGCCTAACACCTATCTCATTAGCAGACATAAACCATCTTCTGTACAATCTGATCATCTATACAATCTGAGAGCTAACATAATCATAATGACATATTTATGAAGTTGCATATTTAGTTTTAAAAGCAAATGAATCATCTTGTAGAGTATTTGCCTTTAATTTGATAAATATATTGTGCAGTATATAAAGCATTATACTATTTCACTAGTAATAAAAAAATTTTCATTATCTATGAAATAGCATGTTGAGCAAGGCTGCAGTTATACCATCTATGTTGACTAATTTAGACATCATAGAATCATAGAATGGTTAGGATTGGAAGGGACCTTAAAGATCATCTAGTTCCAAGCCCCCTGCCATGAGCAGGGACACCTTCCACTAGACCAGGTTGCTCAAAGCC